TTAAATTTTTTTTTTTGGTTCAATTGCCGCCGAATTCAATTCATTGAATAGGGAAAATTAAAACCGGATCTAACTCGAGCCAATTTGAGGCTAAATTTTTGGGCAAAAATTTGATTTATTTTTGGTTAAAAATCCCGAGAATTAAATTCATTAATTCCCCCATGATTCGAACTGAAAATATCTTCCATGTGATCCAAAGTGAAGACACTTTTCTTAACCGAAAATTTTTAGTTCCGCCTGTGTTTTTGAAACTGTGTGTGTGTTTTGACACAGCCACCTATTGTAATCCCCCCCCCCCCCCCCTTTGAGAGCCTTTTAAACATTCGCCTATTGATCTATTTTTTCTAGCAACATCTTTGTTTTCTCTAAATTTTATTTTTGGGGCTTTTGCTTCATTTTTTTAAGAATGTCTTTCCAACTTAGACTGAACTCGCTAGATGAATGTCTCAAAACAAACCAAAACGGGTAAAACAATTGTTTGTTGGCTTGCCTCGCAAATCTCCCTTTCAACACCACCCCCAAAAGGGAAGCTTTAGTTTAATTTGACAGAAATGTGTGCCTTTAAAAAATGGCTTCCCCTGCACCCACCAAACCCTGAAAAGGCCAAAATTGCTGATTCGTCATGGGTAGCCCCAAAAATACTGTCCCGACTTGTGACGAATCGTATTCGGGCGATCCATTGGGGGGCCCGGGTGGCCGATCAAACGGTATAAAAAACCTGGAACCCATCACCTAAAGCCCCACAACAGTGCAGTCCAGTACGGTCTTGATTGATGAATTTCGTATTAATTCGTAAATTCCAGAAAAAACCCGATTGTTTGAAGATGTGAATATCAAAGGGTTTTTCCTTGAAATACTTGAATGTTCCCACACATTAGACACATTCCATCACATTGTGTCCTGCCCTTAGAACAACCGATCTAGTTAGTGTTCTTCTCCCCGCTACTCCCTTATGTCCCCCCCCCCCACCCTCCTCATTTTTCCCGGCCACCCGGATGTAAAAACGCAAATTTTCCGACATACTGAAAACATGTAAAATCCGTTTTATTTGACTTCGGGCTGACCTGGATTTAGGCCGAATTGGAGGACCAGGCACGACAGAATGTTTCGCTTTAAATTATTTTTGTTCCTTTTGCGCTTTTTTAAAAGCAGTTTTTCCCAAATGGATGGAATCACGGTTTGTAAACTATTAGCTAAGAGCTTGGGGCACCACTGGGATCCTTTCATTTGTGGCGGTTTATCGGAATATTCAAAGGGGCTTTTGCCGGTTTCTGTTCTGCTGTGAAATACCTTATTAAAAAATATTTCTGTGTATAGCGAACTTTTGGGGCGATCTTTTTCCCCCAAAACTGCATTTCTGCGGGGTCTGTTTGGGTTTGGCCCCTAGCAACTCTTTTGCATTTACTGCGGGGGGATATTTTCTGGATTGTGCTGGAAGTTTGCTCGCCGGGTTTTTTAAAAGGATAGTGAGGGAATTTAATTCGATTTTTCCCGGGACAAGACGGGGCAAGTCTGGGAAAACCCCATTGCAGTGAAATTGAAACCCTTACAAAGACTAAAACAAAGACTAGTCAAAAACTATCAAAGACTGAAAGACAGTCAAAGACTAAGTCAAAAACTAAACAAAAACTAATCAAAGACAAACAAAGATAAGTCAAAAACTAAAAAAAAGACTAAAACAAGAAAACGACAAAAACTAAAAAAAAAACTAAGACAAGACTAAAACAAGACAAGACAAAACTAGCAAAACTAAGACAAGGGTAAACAAAGACTAGACAAAGCTAGTCAAAAACTATCAAAGACTAGTCAAAGACAAGACAAAAAGGGTAAGCAAAAACTAACAAAAACTAAAAAAAAGATAACAAAAACTATGCAAAACTAAGACAAAGACTACAAAGCTTGACAAAGACTAAGACAAAAGGGTAAACAAAGACTATACAAAGACTAGACAAAAACAGACAAAAACTTTACAAAACATGACAAACAAAGACTTAAACAAAAGACTAAGACAAAGACTAAGACAAAGGCTAAGTCAAAGACTAAGACAAAGACTAAGACAAAGACTATGACAAAGACTATGACAAAGACAAAGACAAAGACTAAGACAAAGACTAAGACAACGACTATGACAAAGACTAAGACAAAGACTATGACAAAGACTAAGACAAAGACTAAGACAAAGACTAAGACAAAGACTATGACAAAGACTATGACAAAGACTATGACAAAGACTATGACAAAGACTATGACAAAGACTATGACAAAGACTAAGACAAAGACTAAGACAAAGACTAAAACAAAGACTATGACAAAGACTATGACAAAGACTAAGACAAAGACTATGACAAAGACTATGACAAAGACCATGACAAAGACTATGACAAAGACTAAGACAAAAACTAAGACAAAGACTAAGACAAAGACTAAGACAAAGACTAAGACAAAGACTATGACAAAGACTAAGACAAAGACTATGACAAAGACTATGACAAAGACTAAGACTAAGACAAAGACTATGACAAAGACTATGACAAAGACTAAGACAAAGACTAAGACAAAGACTATGACAAAGACTATGACAAAGACTAAGACAAAGACTATGACAAAGACTATGACAGAGACTATGACAAAGACTGAGACAAAGACTATGACAAAGACTATGACAAAGACTATGACAAATACTAAGACAAAGACTAAGGCAAAGACTATGACAAAGACTATGACAAAGACTAAGACAAAGACTATGACAAAGACTATGACAAAGACTATGACAAAGACTAAGACAAAGACTATGACAAAGACTATGACAAAGACTATGACAAAGACTAAGGCAAAGACTAAGACAAAGACTAAGGCTAAGACAGACTTTAGTTTCTAGTACTTTAACCAGCTGCCCCAGAGTTATCAGCTGTAGGTATTCATGATACGCTAATTCTCATCGTCTAAAACAGAAAGGAAATGTTTATATTGAATCCTAACTGAAACATGAAATGCCAGGGTCAAAAATGACAATTTAGGGAAGTACACTGACTGAATCAATGCTCATCGTCACCAAGAGACTACAGGTTAGATGGTTCGGACATGTGTCCAGGCTGTCATAGCACCGTGCGCCACAGATAAATATTACACTGCTAGGATTGACTGCCAAACTAAATAAAGTATATTTTAATTATATCGAGGCTGTGTCTGGCTTTATTGTTGCCACTCCGATACTGTATGCCAGGAACACGCTGAGAAGAAATGTGAAGTTTTTGCACGTTGAAATTGTAAATAAATATATGACTGTTTGAGTTGTTTCTGGTGCGTTGTTCCTGTTCTTGATTAATACATTTGCATTGAATTTTACTGGTTAATTAGTGATTTCGGTTCCATAACTGGTCTTAACCCCAATCCACCTACGTCCTACGAGAGAGTGCGGCCTCGGTTCCACGACTGCATACAACCTACCTACCACCCCCCTGAAATATTAGACTGTCCCGTAAGCTGTGGATTTCCCCTGTTCTGTTAGGATATTAAGAAAGCACTGTGATTTTATGGTCAGAGGGCGCGAGCGCACACACACATACACACAGAGAGAGAAAGAAGAAGTGAGGGAGAGGGAGACAGAAAATGACGAAGCAAAAGAGACTGAGGCAAGAGACGAAGGCGGGTGGCGAGAAAACGGGCAACATAGAGAGACAGACCAAGAGTAGAATATAGAGAGAGATATTAATACATTAACAGTATTTTTTCGTATGTAATAAATACATACATAGAAACACACTATACTCTCTTTGTTATGGCTTGTACCATGCTTTTTATAACTGTGTAATTTAGAAAGGGAAGCAAGCATCTATACGATTTCGTTTATTCAACCGTTGTCCTGTTGTGTCATTGTATGTCATGGATGTAATCCAGTCCAGCAGATTTGGCCTCTCTCATCAACGTTCGACTTAGGGTTTCTCATGCACGTACTCCTCTGCTCAAAATCTCCGTATTTCCCATTTTAGTAAATATTTGATGATTTTCTGCTCATCTCTCACCAGGATGTGTCTAATATAGCACCAACTTCTATGACTTAGGAATGCTGATACTAGTCTGATATAGCACCAACTTCTATGTCTTAGGAATGCTGATACCAGTCTAATATAGCACCAACTTCTATGTCTTAGGAATGCTGATACCAGTCTAATATAGCACCAACTTCTATGTCTTAGGAATGCTGATACCAGTCTAATATAGCACCAACTTCTATGTCTTAGGAATGCTGATACCATGTCGAAAAGCTGTTTCACTTATTTCTTGACACCTTCATCACAGTTTGTGCTCACTATTTTCCTCAGGCATTTGTCTCAAATAAATTCAACTTTCGATCCATATCTTTAACGTTTCTCCAGCTGTCACTGACATATATAAAAACTGAAATAAGATTACTACTGACACGACGTCACCTGCTTCTGGAACTATATAATTTAGAGTTCTATATTTTGTTCGAGCTGTTAAAAACCGCTGGTGCATTGCTAATGTATGTTATGATTTCTTTCGTTGTGTTTCTTTAAATGTCAACATTAATACCTAAATAACCAGGCTTATCTGTTACCTTTTTTTTTTTTTTTATTTTGAAAGTGTGTGGTGGGGGTGATGGGTGTGTCTCTAGTGTTACATCTGCTTAATCTGTTTTTTGCGTCTTTAGTATATATTTTTTTTTAATTTTTCATCCTTGCTCAACACTCAGGGGAAGAATAAGACGGATATACAGTTAAACGGTTTCTGGTGCCATCGGAATTGGAACTCATCGCTTGCTGCTGAAGATGGGGACGAAGCACTTATGGGAGTTTCTTGAGTGTTGTGATCTCGATTCCTAATTCAACCAACATTCATACCTTGCTTGCAGTCCAAAGTTTTAATTTTTTTTTTTTTTTTTTTTTTTTCTGAATCATTTATTTTTTCTTTGCATGTCCATTTCACTTCTTACTTAGCAGAACACTATCCTCTGCAAAATTAAGATTAATTTCAGACCACTACGGACATAAAGTTTCACTGGTAATGTCCTTCTCTCTTGTCGTCCCTGTTGAGGAATTGTGTGTAGCGTCTGTAGGGTGTTGTGTGAACACACATATGATCTGCTTTAGCACCGACCGGTACTTGGTGCTCATCTTAAAGTAGATAAAGATAGTTGCCGAACTGTGGACAGCTTCTAGAATCTTCAGCAAAGCCCACACAAACCGGAACGTGTTGGAGTATCTTCCTTTGACGCTGTACGACGGAAAGATAAACATGACGATGTAGTTGATGACAGTCGGCAGGAAGCAGACGATGAACATACACGAGATGGAGAGCACCATTCTCACAACTTTTTTATCCCGGCTTCCCATGTCCTGGCCGGAACCGGAAGTTGAAGATTTCGACATTGACATTCGCCACTTTGTGTTCCGCAGTAAATTTTGAATTAAAATGGCGGTGCTGATGCTAACGATGACGAAAGAGATCAACTGGACACTAACGTCCATTGTCTTGCAAATGCTCTCGATGAACTGGCCATCCTCAACAAAGACCAGACCGATCAGTGTTTTATTTCTCTTTGGCGCCGAGACTGGACCGAAACGGTCGGCATAAAAGGCCGGCGAGAGAATACAGAACATGAGCAGAAAGACGAAGATGTTGATGGCAATGGTTCGTTTCGGGGTGATGATTTCTTTGACTTTGAGAGGGACGGTGATACAGAGACATCTTTCCAGCGTGATGAAGGCGGTGATACAACTGGTGATGCGGGCAAAACATCCGTGTGGCCAGCCTGTTAGAAACATGGTCACAATAAGAAACCGTATCTCAGGTGTTTTAGCACTGTGTACTCTACTAATTGCGGCGTCCGTGGCTAAGGCGTTGCGAGTCCGACTCGTGAGCCAGCATACCGCGATCGAAACCCACTGCAGGCTGCGTGGAATTTTGTCGTGTTATGGGACGTCGCAGGTCGACCCAGCCTAAAATGGGTACCAGGATGGGCTGTCCTGGGAAAGTAAAGACAGCCGGCGTAATGCTGACCACATTACCCACAGAGTGCTGATGGTCTGTAAAAATATGGGACGCTCTGCCCATATGCCCGATGCGCCGAAAGGCGTGAAAAGGGATCTTTACTTTACTTTACTTACTCTACTAATTAATTTTCAGCAGAATTGCAAAAAAATAATAATGAACATATAAGACAAATGAAAAATACAGTTAAAGTATATTTGTAGAATGGTGTGTATTCTCAACTCTGCTATATTATACCGGAACATCGAACAAGTCGCTTCTTTTTCTTCTCCTCCTTCTCCGTATTCTTCTTCTTCTTTTTTACTTCTTCTCCTTTTTCTTCTTCTTTTTCTTCTTTTCTTCTTCTTCTTCTTCTTCTTCTTCTTCTTCTTCTTCTTCTTCTTCTTCTTCTTCTTCTTCTTTCTTCTTCTTCTTCTTCTTCTTCTTCTTCTTCTTCTTCTTCTTCTTCTTCTTCTTCTTCTTCTTCTTCTTCTTTCTTCTTCTTCTTCTTCTTCTTCTTCTTCTTCTTCTTCTTCTTCTTTTTATCCTCCTCCTCCTGCTCCTCTTCTTTGTCCTCCTCCTCCTCCTGTTCCTCTTCTTTGTCCTCCTCCTCCTGCTCCTCTTCTTTGTCCTCCTCCTCCTCTTCCAGTACTGTTCTGCTCTTCATCGTCCCGTTTTTAGGAGGCATCGAGTAGAAGCCTCGGTATGTCGTACGCATAAACTGTTATTTACGGCCTCGGATACTCCATCTATCCATCGCTTCCGCGGTCGACCTCTAGTTCTGTTTCCATTATCTCAAATAACACGACTCTCTGTGTTGTTCCATCTTGTGGAAGTCTCGACTTACACCCAACCTTCTGATCTCTGTCTCTGGGTATCCTTTAGTAACTTTAACAAGTAACTGTAAAGTCAAAATCTCTGGAGATGTTGATACACTGAAGAATTGGCAGTACTTCACGGAAACTAAAACAGTCAAACAGAAATGTAGACAAGTTACTGGGAATGATAAGAAAGCTGTGACAAAATAAAAAAAAATAAAAAATAGATAAGGAAACTATTTTGGCAACATGACAAGAGACGACACATTTATAAAACTCAGGCTAAAGTAATATTCTAAAAACAGGCAAGCAAAAAGTTGACAGTGATACATACACTTGGGCGGAAAAAAGACAACTCCACGCCTTTAAGCATATTGGGTACATTGGGCTGAACCTATATTTTGTAGAGCAAATGGCACTCGGCAGGCGATGTGGTCAACATAACGCCAGCCGCGTTTACATCCCATGACTTTTACCTGGTATCCCTTTTAGTCTTTGAACCGATGACTTTTAGGCTTTGAACCGATGACTTTTAGGCTTTGAACCGATGACTTTTGGGCCCACAGGCGAGCGTTTATCTAGACTTCGAAGGAAACTCCCCTAGTGGCCTTGCACGACATGCTTGTTATGTTATGTTGCTCATCCTCATATATGCTCAGTCCTCCGATGCAGCGGCCACTTTAAGGTACCTCTAATGAATGTTCCCATGAGGAGTTGATTATAATATCTACTTGTTAGGGGGTATTGTGTCTTTTCTTCTCCCATGCCTCCCCCTCCCGACCCCCACCCCACCCCTGACCCCCACCCCAATTCCAAAATGGAGCCTGAGAACCCATATGGGTGGAGAAACAACAGAAGTCAACATGGGTTCCCTTGAATTTAAAACTATTTCCAAAGTGTATTTCAGGCATTTCAGGCAGGTTTCTCTTGACTGTCCAATGCGTATCAAAATTAACACAAAATACAATCTAATTTTTCAGAAACGGTATACATAAGAATATTAGGGCTTAAAATAAAAATATCGTGTGTGGGAGACACACACTGAACGTGACACAGTCAGAGACATACAGAACGTGGCACAGACAGAGACTCACACTGAACGTGACACAGGCAGAGACCTACACTGAACGTGGCACAGACAGAGACATACACTGAACGTGGCACAGACAGAGACATACACTGAACGTGGCACCGACAAAGACATATACTGAACAAGGCACAGATAGAGACATACACTGAACGAGGCACAGACAGAGACATACACTGAACAAGGCACAGACAGAAACATACACTGAACGAGGCACCGACAGAGACATATACTGAACAAGGCACAGACAGCGACACACACTAAACGTGGCACAGAGACACACACTGAACGTGGCACAGACAGAGATATACACTGAACGAGGCGCAGACAGAAACATACTCTTAACCTGGCAGAGACAGAGACACACACTGAAGAGGCACAGACAGAGACATACACTGAACGAGGCACAGACAGAAACATACTCTTAACCTGGCAGAGACAGAGACATACTCTGAACGAGGCACAGACAGAGACATACACTGAACGTGGCACAGACAGAGACATACACTGAACGTGGCACAGACAGAGACACACTGAACGTGGCACAGACAGAGATATACACTGAACGAGGCGCAGACAGAAACATACTCTTAACCTGGCAGAGACAGAGACACACACTGAAGAGGCACAGACAGAGACACTCACTGAACGAGGCACAGACAGAGACACTCACTGAACGTGGCACAGACAAAAACACTCACTGAACGAGCACAGACAGAGACATACACTGAACGAGCACAGACAGAGACATACACTGAACGTGGCACAGACAGAGATATACACTGAACGTGGCACAGAGAGAGACACTCACTGAACGTGACACAGACAGAGACACTCACTGAACGTGGCACAGACAGAGATATACACTGAACGCGGCACAGAGAGTGACATACACTGAACGAGGCACCGACAGAGATATACATTGAACGTGGCACAAAGAGAGACATACACTGAAGAGGCACAGACAGAGATATACTCTGAACAAAGCACAGACAGAGACATACACTGAACAAGGCACCGACAGAGACACTCACAAGCGGTCAAGTGCTGCACGTCTATGGACTCGAACGGGATGTCGGAGAAGCGGAACTCTGGCGTGTAGCAAATACTCATCCACAGCAAGGTCACCAGAGCACCCAGGTCAGAGATGGCCAGACCCAGAAAGCTGATGTTCACCGTCTCTTTAAATCCCTGAAAGGAATACAGTAACATAGAACTGACTGTTTCAACAATCGATATCAAAGCACATCCTGCACACTCGGGTCTTTCTTTTCTCACTAAGTACCGGCACGAGCTTTATTTTTCAGCTTTTCTCTGTAATAGATACTTTATGATGAGTACCAGAACTGTTTTGACCGCTTTATAGTTACTACTGGAACCTTTTATACTTGAACAAGATAGTCTTCAGTATGCCCATAGATGTTGCGTCTCCATCCAGCAAATGTCTTCACTATATGCTTATAGTGAAGGCAGACTTACCAACAGTGGAAAGTAGCCAGGAAATTTTGACGAGAACAAATCTGATGACATACAGTGGAGCGAAGTTTGGTCGTAGCCTATCTTTTAAAGAACATGTTGACCATGTCATAACAAAGGCGCGCAAAGGCCTGTCAGCAATGAGGGTCCTGGCCGCCGCTAACACTGAGCAGAGACTGCTTCTGTTTCTGTTCCAGGGACTTGTACTTTCTCCCATCGAATATACTCTTGCCATCCTCACTGTCAGCAATACTCAGATTGAAATACTTGGGAAGGTGCCAAATGAAGCAATGCGCATTATTCTAGGGTGCACTGGCGACACCTCTTGTGTAGCAATGAGGTACCTTCTTGACTTCCCTACCATGAACTACAGGATCAAGATCTGGAGGGCTCGTACATACCTCAAGATTAGATCAGATCTGAAGCCCCCTTTGCACCACATGCTCTTCAAGAAAAAGGGCAATGGGCTTAAAAGGGGCAAATCATGGCTGGGTAGGGCAGAGGATGACATCATGCAGGTTTGCAGCCTTACAGACATCCATCCAGGTGAGGAGTGGATACCGGAGTCTAAAACGCCCAATCTCACATTCTCCTGTGTCGTGACGCTCGATAGGAGTTGTCGGGAGCAGAATCCAGCTGCTGTCAATGCCGAGGTATGCGGGCTTATCAGATGAGACAGATGTGGTGATCTTCACAGACGGGTCTGCTGTACGAGAACATAAGAGTGCATGGACGTTTACAGCTCGCTCTTCAGGCAGAACAGTTAAGGAGGCCAGCGGTGCCTTCTCCATGACCACCAGCAGCATGACGATGGAGGTGATGTCGGTGACACAGGTTTTCATGTGGCTGGGATCACAGGACTATTCCCGCGTGTGTGTGCTGAGTGATTCTTTGAGCATGATCCGGCGGGTCGAGGCAGGCTGGTTATGCAGACAGTGGCTTGAGTCATTGCAAAATTCCCCTGTGTGTGCAGTTACTTTCATATTCGTCCCAGGGCATGCAGGCGTTGTTGGTAATGAGAGAGCTGATAGACTGGCAGGTGTTGCATTAATTGAAGATGGCCGGTGCATGGATCGCGCAGACATTGTCATTGCCCTTAGAGAGATAGGACGTTCTGAGGATTTTGGAAGCAACGTGTCCACATCACTTCTAAGAATACGAGAATAGGGAGTAAAGATCGGCACAGCCAAGCATGAGAAGCACACTGGACGCACACGAAGTCTTGTTTACCAACACAAGACTGGTACTATTAACCGCACGACGCTGATGAATATGTTGAGAGGGGAATATGAGCGCCTAGGGATGTGTCCGAAGTGCTGTGAAGACAATCTAACTCAAAACTCAAATGTCTTCAGGTGTTGATACCGACTGTTTCAGTAGCCCATTGGTCGTTCAATTGTCGCCATTGTAATTTCATACCAAGACCCATGATTAATTCAGCACTGACGCAGCGTTCAAAAATGATGTCTCCTTTAGCACTGCATCTTCTATCAATCCATCAGTGTGTCACCTCAGGATTGCTTTCTAAAGGTTTAGCATGCTATCCCGAGATTTTTAAAATCACAGTCTGGATGACAGACCAACAAAGTAGATCACAGATACCACATGCAGCCTCTGCAGAACTTATAATTAGGGCACCAGGAACAGCTAAACTAGCCTGGTGTAACCTACAGTCTGACATCCTTAATGACTGATCCTGCCGCTGTAGCTTTAGTAGGCAGTACATCTGCTTGTTCGTTCCCTCAAACTCCCGCATGTCCCTGACAGTACATGAAGTCGTGAAGTCAAAGTGCTGATCCTTGCTGTCTACTTATAACAACATGTCCGTTTTTTTAAAAATTGCAAAAGGGGCCAAACTGACGTAGAGTAGATAAAGAAGCGGGCAAGATGGCTGAGTCATTCAGTTCACCATTGCACTTTTTACAGACTTCTAAAAATCTTCACCAGAGTACGGTATTCGGGCATTTTGCGGCATTCTGAGATGGCAGAAAAAACCGAGACATATGACATAAAACCACATTAAGACCGGGACATGTGTTATAAAACCACATCAAGACCGAGACATAGGAAATAAAATCACATCAAGACCGAGACATGTGTTATAAAACCACATCAAGACGGAGACATTTGAAATAAAACCACATCAAGAACGAGACATATATAAAACCACATCAAGACCGGGACTTATGAAATAAAACCACATTAAAACCAAAAGAAGTGCTTGGGGGTTCTTAACAAAAGCTAATGGTCTATGTTTGGTGCAGGAAATCTTAGCAAATGATGCCACAATATCCATCTTGAGAATGGAGGCGGAGGCGGTGACTTCAGCTTTTCCCTAGTTGGAGAACACGATAGACACATACAAAGTGATTGAACTGACTCAGAAAGCATGCTGCGGAAGGTGAGGGCAAGCATGTTGCGAGCAGAGAGGCATGCTTCGTTTCGAAGATAACAGGTGAGGAGTATTGTGCGGATCTTTATCCGGGTTATGCGGGTGTGTTGGGAAATTAACAGACGGACAGATTGGCGGGCTCTGTACAACCTGGTGGAATACTGATGCATGATAAGGCAGACGTGATCAAGGCATATTAGGAGCACATGTACAATTTAAAGGAGCAAATTGATTATTACAGTCTGGTGAAAGTGATGCAGCGAGAAGTGACGAGGAGATCTTGTCGATACTGGAAGCTCAGAGGAAAGGCAAGACAGACGTATAATCGAACTGCTGCTGGTTCTATTGCTTTTGAAGATCTGCGCTGGCTGCAGAAGCGGGGGACGGGTCGCTTATGGGAATGCCCCGAGTAATGTCATGTCGGTTCTTGAATCAGCTCAATTCTATATCATTCATGTCCCTCCTCTACAGCAGAAGCCAACATCGACATTTCCTACCCATCTGCAATTCCCCATTGAGAATAGCCTTAGGGACTCCTTAGGGACCATCCTTCATTCTCCAATTGTAACTAACAACATAAAAACAAACACAGGCTACAAGAGGCACTAGGACATTACCTGTTTGACAAACACGACGATGTTCAACACGTTAAAGGCGCACCCGCACAAGGTAACTACCCCCTGGAGCACCACATAGAAGACAATGTCCAGGTAGCTCCTGGTATGGTCGCTGATTAGGTCTTCTTCAGGTTGGACACGGACACGCAAGTAGTCTGCGCTTCCGCTCATGTTCTCATTGTTGTTCATCCTAGCAGTTACGCCACAAATCCCTAAATAGTTATAATCCTACAATCCTTCAGTTCTTTCCCCCAATCCTACTGTTAAAATTCTCTGAAACTATATAGTCTCAATAACTAGTAGAGAACCAGTGGGCATGTCGTGTGGGTTCCTATACCCCAATTGTATAGCCAGGTTCAGCCACTTATGAGGTCAGTTTTAATATATAGACGGTGACCTTTAAACCCCATGATCTGCGTAAGGCCAACATCTGGCAAAGGTTATCCACCTTCATACACAGCTTTGTGAGGTACACAGCGATTGGTTAAACAAGCAGTAATGGTAATTTATTCATAGTTTGGTAACAAGGACGTGATTTAATCTGTAATTATAAATTCTTGGACACGATTATTTCCGTCTTATTTATCTCCCAACCAATTCTTTATTTGACAGGCGGTTATTTTCTGCCCTATAGCAACTTTGGTTTCAGAAATGGTTTCGTGGACTTTAAAACTTGTTCAAGTTTTTTAAATCTTTGATCAGCACTGATGAATTATTATTATTTCCAGTCTGGTTATAGATCATTGAACACGAACCTCTTTCGATTTTCTTCATAAATTTCTGTTTCCGCTCAGGTCGAGTTTCACGGTGTTATTGATTAGCTTAACCATTTACGAATTTCAAAAGTACACTGTTTCTTATCCTCTATTATGAAATAAACTTTATTCACAATCAATTTTTGTTCGCTCGTGTCTGAAATTTGAAATTGTCTTGAAATTGGTGTGAAATTACCGTGCAGTGGAGAAGTGGAATAGATATTACCCCCCCCCCCCCCCCAACCCCCACATCCTTCCTCCGCCCCAACCCACAGCCCCAGACCTCCCTTTCTAATGCCTTTGAAATTGCAACCACAACAAAACCTGTTAAACTGTCCCTGTTCCTGTAAAAATGTGACAAAAAACAGCGGTTCAAATGTGGTGTAACTACGGAAACACAATTAGTGGCCATTAAATACAGCATTTGTCAATTTTCTGGTGACTGTAAACGCTGCCTCATGACAGTTTGGTTCTCATCGACTCAGTGCGAGGCGGGTAATTTGTTCAACCCGGAATAGGCAAGTTAATCTGGGTCTAGGTGACCTGACTTGTAATAGGTGTCGTTATAGGTGTTTTTAAAACAATTAGTTTTTAGTCCGAGGTGTGAAAACAGGTGTTTATATGTGTTTCTGTATATGTGATCTCTTGGTGGTTTCATAGTATCGCCATCAGTTGCTGATAAACAACACAACACGTGAAATCATCCTTTAAAACAATAAAACAACCCATTGGTGACGAGTGACTTTGAATGTGATTTCTTTCCATTAGGTCCCAGTGAAGACGTTTAGTATATGCATGCATTATTCATGTGTGCAGAGAGGTAACGGCAGACAACAGCCTAACTGCAGGGAAATTCTAGACTGGTAAATGTCCCTGTGTATTGAAAAGTTGCAGCTGACAAGAATCTAACGATAGGGACATTCTGGGCTGGTAAAGTCCCGGTATATAGAACAGTTGCAGCGAACAAGAGACTAACTATAGGGGCATTCTATTCTGGTAAAGTCCCTGTATATAGAGAAGTTGCAGCAGACAAGGGATTACATATATTTACATTCTAGACTGGTAAATTCCCTGTAAATAGAGAGAATTAACATCGGACGATAAACTAACTATAGGGACAGTCTAGACTGCAGCTACGAGTGCCATTGTCCGTTTCATTTCCGTATGTTGTATTCCGAAACTAGTTAAACACAGTATGTAATAGTAACTGACTATTACAACAGTGCTCAGAAGTAGGAATTAGGAAACGTGCTAACCAATAAATGAACATAATAGTGTTGAACACCTCCAAACACAAACGGTTACAGCGCTATAATTTCCAGACATTGTATTTTTAAAAAGATATTTTCACGTGCCATAAATTCAGAGTTACACTAGTAGCTGTAAACAAGTTGCATACTTGTCGTTTGTGTTTGCCCTGTTGTGACGCTGACCGGTTCTAATTTGTGTTTGATTTAATGTCTTTTCATTTGTACAGCTCAATCGCTGTTTAATAATTTCACCTCACTCGTCTGCAACATCTCACAGAATTGCTACGATCTGTTAGTGCCCATCTAATTCGCCTGTACTTTATTTTTTTCTTCTCCTGCTTTAAAATGTTCAGCTAAGTGATTTTGTCTATTATTATTCATATTTGTGGTGTTGTAGATTGATATTATGTGCTGATGAAGGATATCTCGCTGCAACGTTCACTTGTTGTTTGTGACTGTGGTATATTGTAAATTTGGCTGGTTCTACGTCTCGTTTAGTTTTGATGTCTTTTCATGAAACAAACTGTATTTAAGGAGCAACGTTTATTTTAAAAGACAGGCATAAAAATAGATTTCTTTATTTCCCTTTACTTCAGCTCGGATCATTAGTGAGCCTGGTTTTACTGGTTTATCACATGGATTAGACCAACAATGATGAGCTCAGATGAGTTTAAAAACCGAGCAGCCAGGACATTCCCATAGGCACCCAGTCTCCATCTTCAGCAGCTAGGGCAGAGTTCTAATACCCACACTATTCTTGAATCGTGATTCAGTTCAACGCCCATCATTCACATAGAACAGTGGCTCCTAATACGACGACCCTTTAATACATTATTTTCTTTGCTACTTCATAACTTCAGATTATATGTGTTTCCCGTTAGACCTTGGCGACCCCTGTGAAAGGGTCGTTCAACCCACACAAGGGTCATAACCCACAGCTTGAGCACCGCTGTCATATAACATATTAGTGAGAATCATAATTTCACTGTCTTGGAATAATTTTGTTTCAAAGCAAGAGAGTTACCTTGCAACGAGACGGGGAACCGTTGAGGTGGTAAATATAATACCACATATACAGCAGCTGAGTGGCACTCGTAGAAAGAAGTACAGAGATAAGAGGACACAGCACAAAAATTGATAGCCATAATTAAAGTTCCAGAAATTATATCTGTCACCTCGAAGTAACGAATGCGCCTTGCTGCAGAAGCAAGTGTGCGGTCTGGTTATTTTCCCGAACCCATTGATGACATTTAGTGTGATAATGTATGTTCAAATCCAAAATGTTTAATGGATACTTTTTTAGACAGAAGACATTGATGTTTTGTCTCAAGGACAGTGGGTCGGTCCTTGTTTGGTCTGTCGTTATTTTTGTGGATGATATTTATCTTGCAACTGTTTATTTCGTTAGTCTGTTCGCGCACTTTCCTTCTGATCCCCCAGTAATATCCCTGTTGTTTACAGTATATGCGAGTCAACGACGGAAGTGTCACTGGGCATAACCACAAAAAGAGATTTTATCAGCACTGCAAAATTCTGTAATTTGTCTTCATTTTTTTTTTTTTTTTTGAAAGAAAATATAAATTCTGTACAATATTAAGCGAGACTTATAAACAACAGTGTAACAACATAAATGTGGCGATTAGAGAAAAGAATTTGGTACACAAATATAACGCCAAAGCTGTGAGTTTTGTACATAAATATAGCGCCAAAGCTGTCAGTTTTGTTCATAAATATAGTGACTGAAGCTGTGAGTTTTGTAGATAAATATAGCGCCACAGCTGTGAGTTTTGTTGATAAATATAGTGACTGAAGCTGTGAGTTTTGTTGATAAATATAGTGACTGAAGCTGTGAGTTTTGTTGATAAATATAGTGACTGAAGCTTTGAGTTTTGTACACAAATTTAGCGCCACAGCTGTGAGATATGTAAATAAATATGGCAGCTGTAGCTGTAAGTTTGTTACATAAGTATAGTGACTGAAGCTGTGAGTTTGTTACATAAGTATAGAGGCTGAAGCTGTAAATTTGTTACATGAGTATAGTGACTGAAGCTGTGAGTTTGTTACATAAGTATAGTGACTGAAGCTGTGAGTTTGTTACAAAAGTATAGTGACTGAAGCTGTAAGTTTGTTACATAAGTATAGTGACTGAAGCTGTAAGTTTGTTACATAAGTATAGTGACTGAAGCTGTGAGTTTGTTACATAAGTATAGTGACTGAAGCTGTAAATTTGTTACATGAGTATAGTGACTGAAGCTGTGAGTTTGTTACATAAGTATAGTGACTGAAGCTGTAAGTTTGTTACATAAGTATAGTGACTGAAGCTGTAAGTTTGTTACATGAGTATAGTGACTGAAGCTGTAAGTTTGTTACATAAGTATAGTGACTGAAGCTGTGAGTTTGTTACATGAGTATAGTGACTGAAGCTGTAAGTTTGTTACATAAGTATAGTGACTGAAGCTGTGAGTTTGTTACATAAGTATAGTGACTGAAGCTGTAAGTTTGTTACATGAGTATAGTGACTGAAGCTGTGAGTTTGTTACATAAGTATAGAGACTGAAGCTGTGAGTTTGTTACATAAGTATAGTGAATGAAGCTGTGAGTTTGTTACATAAGTATAGTGACTGAAGCTGTGAGTTTGTTACATAAGTATAGTGACTGAAGCTGTGAGTTTGTTACATAAGTATAGTGACTGAAGCTGTAAGTTTGTTACATAAGTATAGTGACTGAAGCTGTGAGTTGTGTTACCTAAATGGTACTACTGAAGCTGTGAGGTACATGCACCGGTGTGATTGACAGTTGAACACCTAAGCCAGACAGTCAGGTACTGCTGGACATCAGCTGCTACAGTATTTTCAACCAATCGGGAGGGGGAAGTCTGCATTTGATTAAAAAGCTGTCCAAGAAAACACAACTTCTTTTTCTTCCTAACTTCCGCTAGTTTTTTTACTAAAGTGTTGGAAGGGGATCTACAGACCTCCTTTGTACTCCTTCTATTGGCTGTACAAGTTTGAAAGAATATGCGTCACCAAGTTTTTATCAGAGAAGATACATAAGCCAAATTGGTTATGAAGTGCAAAGTAATGTTTACCCATTGTGATTTTAAATAACAAGGTTTGCAATGTGAACTGTGTATTTCAAACGGATTCGTTTTTTTTTTTTTTTTTTATGCGTTAAGTTTTCAGTC